GAAGAGATATGTACAATTTAACTGATTTGTAGATAAAACACCTTCATTTCATAGTTATTTTTATACTAAATCATGGTCTATACTCGTTTTTTCTTTTAATGTTTGGAATTTGGTTACTAGTATTTTGTGAGGATTTTGCATGTCGGTTTATCAGGATATTGGCCTGTAGATTTACTTTTCTTCTAGTGTCTTCATCTGAGCTTTGGTATAAGAAAATGCTGGGCTGTATAAAGAGGATTAGAAAGTTGATTACTTGTCTTCAATTTTTTGGAATTATGAGAGTGATTGCAATTAATTCCTTAAGTTTTTGATAGGAATTCAAGTGAAAGGCCTTGCTGATGGCATTTCTTGGGTGTATGAGGTTTTACACTACCGATTGAATCGTTTTTGTGCTATGGTATGTTTAAGATTCGTTGCTTCATGATTTACTTGTTGGTAGGTAATGTGTTTTTAGAAATTTACTCATTTCTTCATGTTATCACTTTTACTTGGCAGTACAATTCACAGTAACTATAGTCCCTTAGGACCTTTTTCATTCTATCTAACAGTTAAATTCTCCAATATTCAATTTCTGATTTTATGATATATGAGGTCTTCTTCTTATTTCTTTAGTAACCTACAGGTATATAGTCAGATTTTTTAAATCTCTCAAGCAATAAAGTTTTAGTTTACTGATTCTTTTCATTTTGTTCATTTCGTGCTATAACTTTGTTATTTTATTTGTTGCTACAAATGTCCTTATTTTTTCTTTTTTTCTGATTTCTGGTATAAAGTTAACTTATTTTTAGAGATCTTTTTTCTTTGTTAGTAGAGGTATCACTACCAAAGAGCCCCATAGTAGCTGCTTTTGCTGCATCCAATAGATTTTTGAATGTTCTCTTTTTATCTTTATTCGTCTTAAGAATTTTAAATTACATTTTTATTTCATCTTTTACCATTAGTTGTTAAGAGTATATTGTTTAATTTCCAGACATTGTCATTTTTCCATTTTCCTTTTGTTATCACTACTTTCAATGCAATAGGTTTAAAAAAGACAGTTGGTATGAGTTCGAATCTTCTTAAATTTGTTAAGACTTGCTTTATGATGTAACGATGTGATCTATGCTGATAATGTTCAGGTGTGTGCTTGAGAAAGGGGTGCATTTTACTACTCTTGGGCACCATGGTCTATGTATGTCTGTTGTGTACATTAGACCATAATGTTATTCATATCTGTTTACTTATTGATTTTCTCTCTTGATTTATATCCATTATTGAAACTGAGGTGTTAGAGTCTCCTACTATTATATTGTTTGCTCTCTAGTTCTCCCTTCAGATCTGACAATGTTGGCTTCAAGTATTAATATTTAGGTGCTCTGACATTGGGTACATATATATTTAATTTACATATCATCCTGATGATCTGAATTTTCTTTATATATAATGATCTTAGTTTTATACACTGACAGTTTTGGCTTAAAGTCCGTGTTGTCTGATAAAAATAGGTGTCTCTGTAAAAGAGAGACATTTTGACACAGGGAGGACAGCAGGTGAAGACTGTAGTTATGCTGCCACTGGCAAGGAACTACCAGGACTGTGAGAGAAGGCTGAGAGAGATCCTTACCTGGCACCTTCAGAGCAAGTGTGGCCCCAGGACATCATGAGAGTGGACTTCTGGCCTTCAGAATGGTGAGGCAATACATTTCTCAGTTTAAGACACTCATTTTATGTTACCTGGTTAGGGCAGCCCTAGCAAACTAATAAAGACATTAAAAATGACAGTTAAATGGGTCCATTAAAAACCAGTTGTGACAAACAGTATGAGAAAAATACAGAAGCTAAATAATTATACAGTATGTAAGGACTATAAGTGGGGTAAGGAAAACAGACTTATTTGTAGTGAAGAGTAATTAGAAAAAAAGTTGCTGGAGATGGTGGAGCCGAGCAGGAAGTAATAAGATGGCCACTTGCCATGTTCTGTAGGACTGAAGGACTCTTGTTGCTAGTAGCGAAACTAGAACTTAAGTGAGGAGACAATTGAAGAAGGGCTTTACATTTCTGTTAGTCATGTGAGTTCTGAAATACAAGTATTTATTCATAAAGATGGATGGTACAAATGATCCATGAATTGGGCCATAACTGGAAAGGAACATGGGAACTATCAATTCATCTGTTGGTAAGTCACTCAAAAGTTTATCTTCAAAGTAGAGAAGTGCCAGAATTTGTGTTTACATGGATGAACGCACACACACACACACACACAATTCTTTGCCAAGTGTTCAGATTTTGAGGTGGATCTATGCTCTTTATCATTTCTTATTCTATTTATTTGGTTCACAGCCTCTAAGTTGTTTTTATAAAATATCTGATCCTGTGTTACACAGGTATTACATGAGGAATTTCGGTTTTATAAGTTAAACTACCATTATAGAAATTCAATAATAATAAGAACTTGTGAAAAAAGACAATGTTGGTTTTCAGTAAGAGTTTTATGTATTAATGAGGAAATTTAGAAAGTCAGCAAGTTATGAAACAACGTGGACAATAAAACAAAAATTATTAAAAGAGTAGGAGTGTTTGAAATGGATATCTATTCATGACTTCATTCTTTAGGGAGAAATGTCAAGTTAATCTTATCCTGATTTTATGTGTTCCGTTTTTAAGCATCCCCTAAATTTACACCAACCCTTGTCCTGGGCTTCACATTCTTGAGATATAAAGATGTTTTTAAAAATAAAAGCAAACAGAAAAAGGAGGTCTCCATAAAGAAGTGTGAGTAGAGAAGAGGCGGTTGTTGTTCTGATGAAAGGAAGCTTCCGTACATGACAAGAACATGACTCCAGAGAGAAACTGTCAAAGCAGTAAAGCACGTAGAATCAAGATAAAAGAAAAATTAAAGAGAAATAGCTCCGAGTCCGGGAGATGACAGGTGCTGAATCTGGCTTCTCTCATTTTTGCGTATGTACCATGGGAAGGGGCAATTGTTGAGTGTGTGTTAGATCCCTCGGAGCACGGATTTCCGGTTTCCTTTTTCCTTGTATTGTTTTTCCCCAAGTGTGCTTGTGGTTCCTAATCTCATTACCTTAATAATCTCACTACTTTAATGATCTGAGGAAAACCGTGGAGACTCCCAGGAGCTAAATAAAAAGGGGCATTTAAATGTAAAATATTTGAATGTAATTGTATAGATTTCTAAAGTGTGTCCTTGCCCCAAATGCGCTGCCTACATTCATGCTCCAGACCCTTAACCTCTTTCAGCCTGTGACCGTGCATCCGTGGTTCCTGTGCATGACGGTGTGCACTCGGGGTCTTCATGTGACATGTGGTTTCGGTGACGTTTCGTTCAAGAAGCGACAGACCAGTATTACTCATTTTCACACATATGTGAATATGTCATAAACTTGTATTATGAGGTAATTTCTTTCCCAGCCTGTCTTCATATGAGATATGTATCTGTATTTTTAGTTATGATAAATACATTTGGAGGGCCACCTCCGGAGGTGGCTACCCCACAACCCCACAACTGCCGGGGACGCCGGTGCCTTTGCTCCAGCACGGCAGCATTTCCTTCACCAAGCTCTCCTTTCTCATTTTGTAGTTTGTGGATTTCATTTCCGAAGGCATTTGTTTTCCTTTGGTATTCTCCCATCTCCAGCTGTTATTTTCCCAGGTTGGTTGATTTTTCTTTCTTTTTCATGCGGCTAGAGGTTTCAAAAAATGTTATTTTTCTTAAGAGTAGCATCAAATATGAACACCTGTGAGTAACATCTATCTATCAACCCCAGGTACTCCTCCCTCCAATTCCACTGTGGTTTACTGTTTTATTAAACAAAGATAGCCACTACAGTGGGTCACAGCTTTTGAAGGACAACTGATAGTTTGACACTTTGCAGTTTTACAGGACGAGATGAACACAGTCTGGGCAATGATTTGTTGCATGGGAGTATATTTAAGGACCTCGAAAGAACTGTGTATGTCTTGCATGTCTCTCCTGGGTAATGTGACTAAATAATTTATTACTTGAAATTAAAGGGAAGAACTACCAATATTTATTCCAAGTCGATGTATATAAAGCCAGATTTCACTGGGACACTGAAACAGATATGTAATCTGCTCACCTTTCCATGAAGATCTTTTGTAACGTTCACACATGCATCTATTCAGACAACAGCATAATTTAGACATAATGAATCCATGTGTGCTTCATCCAGGATCAGTAATTGTCAGCCTGCAGCGTGTACACCCCGTGTGACCCTGCCTCACCAGTATTTAGGAGCGAATCCAGTGCAGCATATGGAGTCATGCTTGAGCCAAACACTAATGCATTTTAACACACATCCTGTGTTGTGTGCTCTTCTTGTCCTCGGTTTTTCTTCACTGCGCACTGCTCATAACGCCATCCCTATCTCTGCCTTTCTTGTAGTTCTGCTGCTGTGATGGATTGACTCTGCCAGAAGCCAGACTGTTGAGGTGGGCACTGCACACAACCGATTCTAAAGGAGGAGACAGGCCAGCAGTGCTTCCTGCCCTCCTCCCCCCTCCCCTCCCACAGCTCCATCATGGCTATGGCTGTGGCCCTGGTGTACATGAGGGTCACACTTCTGTGTCTCTGGCTAGGAGTGTTTCTGGTCCTTTCTGGACGGCCCCAGATTGGGCTTGCTCAGTCCTACAGCCAGCCAGAAGTGGTGGTACCCTTTAGGGTAACTGACGTTGGTAGGAACTGGAAGACTCCAGGCTGGGTCTCCTATAGCATAAACTTTGGGGGGAAGAGACACATTGTCTTCCTGAAGGTTAAAAAGCTCTTACTCATCAAAAACCTTCCCGTGTTCACCTACACAGTCCATGGAGGTCTCCTTGAGGACTATCCTTTTGTCCAGAATGACTGCTACTATCATGGTCATGTGGATGGGAACCCAGAATCTCTGGTGTCTCTTAATACCTGTTTTGGGGGCTTGCAAGGAAGGCTAATGATCAATGACTCTACTTATGAAATCAAGCCCAAAAGGCCTTCTGACACATTTGAACATCTGATATATAAGGTACAACACTACAAGAAATCGCTCCCATCCCAGGGATGTGGACTACCAGAAGATGAAACAGCCGGACAATTAAAGTTTCAAATGAGTGTTAATTCCACTCTGAAGCAATTAGAATCTCACTATGGGGACTGGTGGACCCATGCATACTACTGTGAGATGCCAATCGTGGTAGATAATGCTCGGTATACTTTTCGGAGTAGCAATTCCACACTTGTGCAGGAGGAAGTCATGGTGGCCATCAATGACCTGCATACCCTTTACCTTGAAGTGGGCATCCATATAGTCTTCGTTGGACTTGAGGTCTGGACCAAAGCAAACCCAATCACAGGAAGTAACGGGCAGGATCTCTTAAATAATTTTCTTGAATGGAAGAAACGGAGCTTCAATACACGCATTCCTCACGATACTGTATTATTAGTAGCAAAGAAGGATGATGAGCCTGACGACTCAGGCCTGGCCAATTTTGCCGGAGCGTGTAACATGAATGCTAATGCTGGAGTCGTGTTTCACTTGGGACACAATCACACAAAATTTTTGATGAGGGTGGTACATGAGATAGGTCATTTGTTGCGCATACGTGACGATGCTTCTGCAGAACATTGTAAGTGTCGGCAACATGAGAGATGCATGATGAATAGCGCGTTGGTGCCCTCATGGAGATTCAGCAACTGCACCTTTCGATACGTTCACTCGCACACTTCGGAACTGACCTGCTTGCACAATCGGCCAAGTGCAGAGAATGCCGTCTCCCCAGTGAAGCGCTGTGGGAATGCTTGGGTTGAGGAGGGGGAAGAGTGTGACTGTGGACCCTTGCGAGTGTGTGCCACTGATCCATGCTGTTTTGCAAACTGCACTCTGAGACCCAGGGCTGTGTGCAGTACTGGGCTCTGTTGCACCAACTGCACGTTGGCTCCATCAGGTAAAGTGTGTAGGGAAAGGAATGGTGTGTGTGATCTTCCAGAGTGGTGCAACGGGTCTTCCCATGCGTGTCCAGACGATGTGTATTTGCAAAACGGGTCCCCTTGCAGGGGCAACGGCTACTGCTATGAAAACATGTGTCACAGCCGTGATGAACAGTGTGTGGAAGTTTTTGGCGAAGGAACAAAGAATGCAGATAACATTTGCTACGTAGAAATAAACACCCGAGGTGACCGTTTTGGTCACTGTCAGGTGAGTGGTGGATCCTATACAAGATGCAGTGCACAAGATAGCCTCTGTGGCAGAATCCAGTGTCAGAATGTGAAAGAAATCCCCCTGATGACTGACCACACCACTGTACACTGGTCTCACATCAATGGCGTCACCTGCTGGGGCACCGAGTACCATCTGGGGATGGCCGCGCCTGACGTTGGCAAAGTGAAAGAGGGCACGGAGTGTGGTCCCGAGCGTATGTGCCTCCGACATCACTGTGTCCCCGTATCACAATGGGAAAGCACTTGCGATTCTAAGACGTGCAACCGGAAAGGGCTCTGCAACAACAAAGGACACTGCCACTGCTACGAGTACTGGAGCCCACCCTTCTGCCTGAAAAAAGGCGATGGGGGTAGCATTGACAGTGGCCCACCCCCTAGCAAAAGGACAGTGAAAAATGTGGTAGAAACTGCTGCAAAACTAGAACCTCCCCTGACAACAACAAAAACAGCGGCAACATATCTGTTAATTCCTTTATTGATTTTGTTAATCTGTGCGTTAGTTTTGCTTTGTGTGATATTAACAGGAATGAATAAAAAAGGAAACGCTCAAACTTCACCTGAGACAGACCAGACACCTGAGACAGACCAGACACCTGACCAAACCGCACCTGCACCTGAGACGGCTGCACCCCCACCTGCCTCGCCAGCGCCGGAAGGAGACAAACCTCCAGCAGCTTCAGCCAAAGAGTCAGAGAGTTCCACTGTCAGCTAAAAGAAATGAGCAAAACGCTCAAACTTTACCTGAGAAAAAATAGTAAAAAATAACCACTGCAGAAAACAGAATGAATTCCTAAATTATTTCCTCTGTGTTAATTTTCAATGCCCTGGAGGTAAAAATGACATTGCACATGTCAGGGACCACTGAAAGAAAATCTGAGATCTATTATATTTCAGGATCATAACCATTAATCTATAGATAAAGGTAATTATTAGCCTAGTCCTACTCTTCTTTATTTTGAGCAGTTGTAGCGGTTTAGTTTCAAGGAATTTCTCCGAGTTTCCCTGAGCGAGACACAGCGGAGCTGGTGCGGCTGTGTGAGAGCTGATCAGCCGCCCCAGTGCCAAAGCCCCTTCCCCCCTCTGGTGTCACAAGGAGGGCGAAAGCTCAAAGAGTTTCTTCTCTGCTGCTCCTTTCCGGACCAGTGCCCAAACTGGGGGCGCTGGAGGAGACTGCAGGCTGGAACGAGGACCTCCCCAGAGCCGGTTCTGTCAGCGCTGCCCAGGAAGCCGCAGCGGCTCTCGGTCTCCGGGGTTGCTCTGTTAAGAACGTTAGTCAGGTTAAATTTAGCAGAATTTATTTGAGGAAAAATACAGTTGATGAATCACCCAGCATCTCGGATGCGAACACCAGAGAAGTTGCCCAGGATCTCCCCCCCAGCAATGTGGGCAGTCAGGTTTACGACAGACAAAGAATGAAGAACCAAAACAGCTTGACCGCTCACAGGTGGCGTTTTGCCTGCCATGGACCTGGTCTGCCCGGTGGACAGCCTGCCTTTAGCCAAAGCTCGGCTGCTCGGATGGGCTGGGCTCAGCTGACTTGCTTCAAGATTGTACTCTTTGTTGTTTAATTCAACAACATCTCTTAAGTTAGGTTGCATTTGTTTGCCACTAAGTAAGTGCAGTTTGCTATGTAGGTTTCAACGTATGGAGGGAATTAGCGAAATTAATTTAAGTGATTTCCCTTGGTATTCTTCTCAATTTTGAGAGACTGACCAAACCTTGGGGACGATGCTAGCTCCTGCTCACACCATTAATCTTGCTTCTGGTCTCAGTATGGAATTCACAGTTTCATGATGTGAGGTCAGTTTGAATGTTTCTGTATATTCTCTTGTGTTTCCTTTATTCTACTCGATAACCGTAGTAAGACCACTTGGCAGATCATGAGATGGCTGCACGAGGTGCTTTCTCGTCATGAGAGTTGTCGTCGCTGGGACACCCTGTGGTGGCTAGCAGGAGGAGAATACTAAGAATTGAAGTAGACTCTAACAGGAACCGCAAAATAATCAAAACTGAGAAAAATCAAATAAATAAATAATGAGCCAGAGGAGGGAACACTGTTTAGAACAGGTAGCTTGTCTGTGATTTCTCCCACCTGAATGCCAGGTGTTTATCCACAGTGCTGCGGAAGGGTTTGCTGACTCACACACGCTTCCTCCTGCTCAGGCCAGGTGTCCAAAGCCATCATGTTGTTCACACAAGCCTTGCAAGATAACTAAGAAGTTTTTCTGGACGCTACACCTGTGCAGAGAGTCAGCTATAGAACTGATGTGAGGTAATTTCTTTCTTTTTTATTTTTTATTTTAGCTATTAGGGGTACAAGTGTTTAAGTTCGTATATTGCCATGCCCCTCCCCCTTGAGTAAGAGCTTCAACAGCTGGTCATCCCCACAACGTTGACATCTTACTCGTTGGTTGTATATACCGTCCCTCCTCCCCCTCCCACCTCAACACCCGATAAATGTTTACTCCTATCATGTCACTTAGGTGTTGATCCGTAAATCCAATTTGCTGGGTGAGATACATGTCTGGTGTCTGGTTTTCCATTCTTGAGACACTTCACTTAGGTAGAATGGTTTCCAGCTGATACCAGGAATATACAAGAGGTGCTATATCACCATTGGTTTCTTAAAGCTGAGTAGTTATTCCATGGTATACTAACCACGATTTATAACTTCCACTCATAATGATTTGATGGGCACTTGGGTTGTTTCCACAGCTTGTGCAATTGACATTGTGCTGCTATAAACATTCGGATAGTTATGTGTCTTCATAAAGTGACTTTGATCTTTTGGTGATGCCCAGTAGCTAGAATTTGTTGGATCGGATATGGTAGATCTTACTTCGTGATCATCTTTGAGATATTCATATTGCTTTCCACAGAGGTTGAACTAGTTTGCAGTCCACCAGCATGTAGGAGTTTCCTCTCCTCCGCATTCCACGACAGCATTTGTTTTTGGGGACTTTTGATAAAGCCATTCTCACTGGAGGTAAGTTGATACCATTGTGGTTTTGATATTGTTATTTCCCTGATGATTAGAGATGTTGGAACATTTTTCATATGTTTGTTGGCCATATTGTCTTCTTTTGAGAAGTTCTGTTCATCCTTTGCCTCTGTTTGATAGGGTTGTTGATTTTTTCTTGCTTATTTCCTGAGTTCTAAATAGATTCTATTATCAGCCTTTATCGTATGTGTAGCTTGCAAAAATTTCCCATTCTGTGGGTTTCTGTTGCGTCTCTGACAGTTCTTTGGCTGTGCAGAAGCTGTTAATTTCATTCAGGTCCCATTTGATTTATTTTTGTGCTGCTGGGTTGCTTTGGGGTCTTCTTAATAATTCTTTGCCTAGCCAATTGTCTAGAAGTTATTTCAACATTTTCCTCAAGCACTGTAATAGTTTCCACACCTAAGGTTTAAGTCTGTTACCCAGTGGAGTTGATTTTGTGAGAGGTGAAAGGTGTGGGTCTTGTTTCAGTTTCACATGTGGCTATCCAGTTTCCCAGCACCATTTATTGCATAGAGATTCTTTCCCCAGGTGTATATTTTTGTCTGCTTTGTCGAATATTAGTCTGGCTATATTGGAGGATGTTCATATTCTGGGTTCTCTGTTTCTGTTCCAACTGGTCAATGTCCTGTTCTTGTGCAATAAAAAGAGTTTTAAGACTATAGCCTTTGTAGTATGTCTTGAAGTCTGGGTAAATTGATACCTTCCTTTTTGTTTTTATGTGCCTAGGATTGGATTTTGCTATTACGGGTCTTTCTCGTTTCATACAAAGTGTAAGTATTTTCTGTATCTGGAAAAATATGATGGTATTGGTGTAGGATGCATTAATTTTAGGTCCTGAGATAGAATTAAATTAACAATTACTCTCCGACCCGAGTCAGGTATATCTTCATCTGTTACGTCCTCTGCCTATTTCCTCCTGCCGTTGTTCATAGTTCTCCTGTAGAGCTTACCCTTGTTAAATATGAATAAGGTACTTTATTTCTTTGTGCTATTTTCAAGTTAATTGAGTCTTTAATTTTTCTCACTTTTACTGTTGTTGGCGTATATGATGCCTCTGATTCTGTACTGATTTTGTATCCTGGACTTTACCAAATTCATTTATCAGATTCAAGGAGTCTCTTGGTTGAATCCTTGGGGTTTTCTAGTATATTAATATCAGTGTCTCAGCAAAGGAGTGAATAGGTTTGGTCTCTTCTTGCTCCCATTTGGACGGCCCTTAATTATGCTCTTTGTCTGTGCTATAGCAAGATTCCAGCACTATGGATGAACAGAAGTGGAGATATGGGCAACCTTGTTTGTTCCAGTTCTAAGTGGGATGTTCAAATTTCCCCATTCAGTATGACTATTGGCTGTGGGTTTGTCAATATACGGCTTGTATCATTTTTAGCTAAGCCCTGTCTATGCATCTTTGTTGAGGTGTTAATAAAAGGTGTTAATTTTGGTCAAATGCTTTTCTCTACGTCTAGTGATGAGGATCATATGGCTTTGTTTTTTGCTTCTGTTTATATGGTGATTACATTATAGATTTGTGTATGTTCGACATCCCTGATCCCTGGATGGAAGACCACTTGTGTGTGATGAATTTTTTTTTTGGACCAGCACCTGGATTCACATTGGCTAGGATTTTGTTGAAATTTGCATCTATATCATAAGTGATATTGGCTGTAGTTTTCTTTTTTGTTCATCCATTTCTGGTTTTGGTATCAGGTTATGTTCACTTCAAAAATTGTTGGAGCTTTCCATCCTTCTCAATATTGTGAATAATTTCGCAGATCACCATCTTCTTTGTTTATGTGTAAAATTCAGTGTGAAACATCTGTCCAGGATCTTCTTTAGAAAGTTTTTATCTTTTCAATTTCAGTACTTATATTAGGGTCGTTCAGGATTCTTTTATCCTGGATGTTGAGGCTAGGAGTGTTTCAGAAACTTCCATTTCCTCCACATTTCAGTTTGAGTGATAGAGGTTTTGTAGTATTGATAAATTATATCTTGCTATTCTGTGGATCATTGATTCCTTTATTTTCCTGATGGACTATTTAGGAGATTTTCTTCTGCTTTTCATTAGGTCTAGCCAATTGGTCTCATTTGTTTATTTCAAAGAACCAACTTTTTTTTTATTAATTCTCTGTATAGTTTCCCGTATGCCATTTGTTTTCGGTGATCTTTAATGATCACTCTTCTGCTGAGCGTTGGTTGTCGTCCTTTTCCAGCATCTTTGTGAGATATCATTAGTTCTAGTTTGTGATCTTTCATTCTTGATATAGGCATTAGGAAATAAACTTTCCTCTCAGGATGCTTGTACGGTCTGTCCAACAGGTTTTGGTAACTTGTGTCACCTTTGTCATTTAGTTCAAGACTGATTCTCCTCTTGATCCGTTATGAATGTATCCAGTCAGAATATGTTTTATTTCCATGACTTTGTGTAGAATTGAAATTCCGTTAGGATCAATTTCTATATGTTATCCATGGTCTAAAAGTATACATGGTATAATTTCTATAATTTTTAAATGTTTGAGACGTGCTTTGGTCCTAGGATATGGCAATCTAGAGAATGACCCATGAGAGCTGATGGGAAGTATCGTTCAGTGTTTTGGTGAACCCGTTCTCGTAAAAATGTCAAGTCAGGCCATTTGTTCTAGGGTTCTGTTTAAGTCCTTATTTCTTTGTCTATTCTGTTTGAGAGTTGCCTGTCTGTCATGGGTCTGAAGTCTGCAATATATGTGTGTTTTATCCATTGATCCAGAGATTGATGATTATATATCTGGGTGCACTAACGG